GTTTTTCTCTGTATTGGGCCTCTGGATAAAAAAATGTGTGTTCAGAACAAAACAGATTCCTCATTATTCCACACCTCCTGAATCTCATATCTCTAGGCATCTTACAATAAACTGTCACACGGAGCAATGCAGAGCATTTAAAATTTATATTTAGTTACAGCTTGACCTGTTGGTTTAGCTTAAGTGTGTTTGGATTGGGATCACTAGTCATAATGGTGCAGAAAGATGACTTCATCATGTGGTTTATTCATCAGCAATTTGTCACTTAAATTTTCCACCTGGGGTTTTTCCCCCGCACATATTTTACCGCTTTTTGTTGCAAAGCCTTGAGTAACTAATACCAGGGAAAGTATTATTATTATTATTATTATTATTATTATTATTATTATTAACCTTTCTCTTCCCCAAGGCAGCAACTGTACAGGCATGATACGTGCATATGTGTACTGAGGGGGTGAGGGGAGATGTGACCCTAGAAATCAGCAATTTCCTATACAATTGGTCACAATAGCATTCCTATTTCTTAAAGCAAATTAACACCTGTTTTCCCTGAACCTTCTGGGCAGGTACTATCTGAGTTCTGTACAACTGTGCTTGGTAGCAGTTGCTGCGCTCCCACATTTCAGAGAAACCATGACTGATATTCCATCTCTCTGGATATGAGTGTTGGGTGCCTTTTCCCTTTCCTCCTTCTATTGCAGAATGCACACACAAAGTGCTAATGCTTCCATGGTTTAATCAAACAGTTGTGTACTCTGCACTGCTGCGAAACCCCTGATGACTCACTGTTGCCATCCTCACATTATGCAGACATTCCAAACAAGCATAAAATAAAAGCCATAACACAAGACAGCAAAATAGGAGATGGGATGCTAAGTAAAATAGAACACAAAAAATATTATACTTGCTAATTGCCTGCCTTCAATGCTGATTTATATTTTTAAACCTCATCGACTAATAATTTGCACTTGAATCAACACAATTTCTGCACCACTTAGGGTGATGATTTTTAAAAAATGTGAATATTCAGTTGAGGGAATTCTAGGAGAGAAGGGGGAAATTATATATCTTTTCCTTTTCCTTTGGTAGGAGAGCCAGGGTGAGGTGTGTGTATGTGAACCAGATAGCTACAGACTAGTTAGCTTGTACAACATCCAGGCCCAGTATCCTTGAAAAGGGCTTGCAATTAAGAAAACTATGCATGGAGACCATACTTTTTATAAGGAAAATGCTTGCACACAAGCAATTTTGCATTAGTATTTTATAAGGACTACAAGCTTAATTGGTCACTTACTATGTAGATGAATTCAACTTTGGGGTCAATTTGCAATTTATGTTACTGTCCTTATGCAGCCTTTCTCAACCTTGGGACCCCACAGGTTCTTGAACTACAGCTGCCATCATCCCTGACCACAGGCCATGCTGGCTAGGAATGATGGGAATTGTAGTCCAACAAACCCAAGGTTGTGAAAGGCTGGTCCTATGTGTGACTGGTGTGTCTTGCTACATGGATTGCATTGCGTTCCTGTTTTGACTGATCTCTGAACTCCAGTAAAAGCTGTGTTTTATGCAAAACCTTCTTTATGTGAGTAGAAAGCTAGCAAGTACAATTATGACACATGATGAATTGATTGATGACTCATCCGCCACAAATATGCTGTAGTTTGGGAAGGAAATGAACACATCTGATCCGGAGGATTTTGTGAATCATCCCTTAGGCCATAAGGTGCTTTGGAACCCTGTGAAAGGGATTCCGTTAGGTGACTGGGACAAACTGTAATGATGTCGTGTGATTGAAGGTGAGCTGCTCCACCCGCCTGCCAGAGTTGGTGTTACGGGAGCCAAAAAAGATTCCCCAACCCTGTGTTAGGGAATTTCCAGGTAGATCTTGTCTTTCAGTGCCATATTTGCTTTAACCTTGATTCAGTGTCAGTGATGTTTTGGCTCGATTAGAAGGAACTTTGGTGCTGATGATATCAAATCTCATGTTTATCACTTTAGATAATGAAGAGTCCTTAGCTTAGTGAAAGTGTCACTGCATACTTGTTTCTTCCCTGGCATTTTTAAATAAAGGATTTTGGGCCCCAGAGAGCTGTTTCCAATCACGAGTACTATGTATTGGAGAGATTCATTGCTTTATTTATTTTACTGCTTTATAAAAATGCATTTGTGCCATCTTTATGCCCCTGCCAAGGTGTACACTATTGCAGCATAGTACAGAAGCAATAGAATTATTGGTATAAGCATCTCTTAATTAAATGTAAAGAAAAAGATGTGTGTTATGTTCAAGCCTCGAGGGAAGTAAGAGGGTCACAAAACAATATTGCTGTAGGTAGTAGGGTAGCCTTGCTAGTAAACATCACTTAAAAAAAAAAGTTAAAATACTATGGGTATTATAAGGAAGAGAAGCAGAGGTGGAGAAACCACCGGCCATGGAAGCTGAGCTGTCGCGTGTGATGGTGCCGAGTGGTTGTGCCACGTCGGAGGAGACAGGAATGTGGTGGCAACTCAGCTCCTCCCTCTCCTGCGTGGAGGGGAAGCAGTCCCTGGCCCACGGTGGTGGAGGCAGGAAGAGGAGGAGCCACTTAGTCATGGAAGCCAAGTTGCCATGTTGATGCCCAGAAACCCTGCATGCAACGGTGTCCACGCCTGATGTCTGGGCATTGCGTGACGTTGTTGTGCACGCACGACCGGCCCATCCACCCCCATCTCATTCCCAAGTCAATGCTTCTGCAAGGAATTTGATAAACTAGGATGGAAAACACATTATCCCACTTGCAAGAGTGCAAAGAAGCAGTGATATCCCTGTAATGCAGAGCTTTTGAGAAGAAGCACCTGAATCCTGTGTCCGCAACTGAGTGAGAACTCCCCAAGTACCGTGCACACCTACATGCAGCTATCAATTGCAAAGCATTCTGATTTTTAAAGAAAGAATTACTACAGCATAAAACCAGTGGTACACAAATGAGAATGTTGTAATGGTATCACGAGGCAGCCTGCAGTGCAGTACCCTAAGCTGGCTTTGCGGGCTTCACAGATCAGCCATTGGCACAAATCCTTTAGTGAGGAAAGAGGAATGTGTAGAAAACAGAATAATCACAAGGGTTATACAAAGAAAAATTGGTAGGAGAGGGCAAAGAGGAGTTTAGGGGGTGTAGTGACAATCTGCCCCGGATGCCTGGTTTGTAGTTTCAGGTGTAGCTGCTGACCGCTTACGCCCACCCCAGCCCTGATGTCACATGTTTCCTTACCTTTGAAACCCTATTCTCGTGGGGTCTAGGTGAGGTTTGACCCATTAATGCATTATTATTTTTTAACTTCTTTATGCTGCCTCCCTGTGCAATGTGTCCCACAGTGTAAGTTAACGTAGTTTCTGAGAATCGGCTTGAAAATTAGCTTGATGTGTTGCTTGCAGTGCCCCTTCTCACGTACTTCATGCTTGACCTGCACAGAGCCAGAATACGGAAGCTGTAGGCATTAGAGAAATCATTTTTTCTACCTGCAGTCATAAAAAGAACACAGCACTGCATTGCTTGCAGCCCAGCAATTGACTTTGCCTTGTCTGTGGTTTTGCCTCTAAGCAGAGCTAATTCAAAGTTACAGCACCACCTACCGTTGGAGACTATCATTTGAAAGTGGCTGCTGTGATTCCTTGTTTAACTCTTGCTTGTTGCCCAAATCTCCCCATGCATCATGAAAACCTGAAGGATGCAAAACCTAAAAGAATCTCCTTCCTTCCTTCCTTCCTTCCTTCCTTCCTTCCTTCCTTCCTTCCTTCCTTCCTTCTTTTCTATGTTCATACTGTATATCTAAATAGAAAAGTAAGAGACATTTACTCAATCTGCAATCCATTTGTTGAATGGATGCAATTCAGTGTAGGGGGGAAATACGTTCCAAAGAAAAGGAGTCCAGGAGAAAAGAAATATGACTTCCAATGAACTTTGTGTGTACATCTCTTTTTATACTGGCAGCAGCAGTGTACACTGAAAAACAGTCTTTCTGTTAACCTCCAACATGTATTAAACCCTGATTGTAGTTACTTGTGGTGAAGGGAAGATAGATACTCTGCATGTGGTCAATCTGCTCTTTACTCTGCATATTCCATGGGTTGTAAAACAAAATTCAAGGCCTTGGCTCTGATGAATAGTGACTCAAATTAATGATCTGCTGCTGTGAGCCAAATGTAATGTTAACTGTTAAAGCCCTGTACAGCCAAGGGCCTGGATACTTGAGGAATCTCCTTTTCCCACCCACGGACCTGTCCATACATTGAGATCTTTAGAGAAGGCTCTCCTGGTTGTGTGCTACAGCCTCCCGAAGTTCACGCCGTGGCATTCTGAAGAAACTTCTCCATAGTGGGGCCTAAATTATAGAATTCCCCTCACCTCTGAAATAAAGGAGGGAGCACTTACAGATTTTCAGTGCCTACTAATGTCTTATCTGTTGACTTTGGGCAATTGATGGAAATTAGTACTGATCTTGAGGTCATACGTTACCGTCTTCTGATTTTATTGCTGGAATTTCTTATTGTGTTTTTAATATGCTGATAGTATCACAGCCGTCTCTTGGATTTCTTCTAGCAATGAATAATGGATAATAAATACTTTAAATGAAATAAATACAAATTAAGCCTCTTCTGATAATAAGGTTGCTGAGTATCATAAAGGCACATCGAAATGGGACTTTCAGCTTTTCTGACTATCACAGACTGGGTGCTCCAGTTGTACACACCTGATAGGTATGAAACCACAGTGGTGTGTTGCTGTGGAGTGGCTTCCTCCAGTAAGTGTGAGGATTGCCCGAGGGGAAAGCTTCCAGCTGAGCACGCTCTTAAGTGATGCCATCTGAAAGGATTGCCCTTAAGTTGGGGAGCATTATATAAAGCAGCACAGAACAGGAGTTAACCATCTCTTATCTGATAAGGGTGGACATTTATTTGGTCCACTTTTGGGGGGGGGCAGACAGGAAATCTTTCTTGTATATATTTGTGATTCTGACTGCACTGACATCAATGTTGTTTTTGAACAGAGACTACTTGGGAGCGGCCAAGCAGTGTGCCTGGGACACCAAAGAGCCCTGTGACACAGAAGAACTCCTTGCCTACAGGTAGGGGGAAAATTAGGCGGCGCGCATTAGATTTACTGAAATAAACACACATACACTCTTCACGGTTTGTACCAAAGTGGCTAATACCTGTGACATCTCCATTGACTGGTATTTAAAGTGGTGCTTGGAGGGTAGTGCATGGTCAAGTTATGGCACATGAAGGACATGTTTTTTTTCTATACTTCTGTGCGATCTCTCCTGGCTATCAACCATGTGCTTATATAAGTCTATGATGCTGATTTTTGAGAGCCAACTGCAGATTTTAGCAACGAGAAAGGCGAGGGGATGCTTCTAGATCAGTCATTAGTTTCTTTCTACCATGCAATTCTGGTTTTGTTTTTACAAATGGTGTCACAGCATCCTATCCTTTCTGAGTAAGAGAATGGTAATACACCCAAAGTCCCCTACAAAATGTGGTGGTGGTGGAGCCTGATAAGCTAAAATTGATGAATTACAGGTCGGCGGCTTGAATCCCCGCAACGGGGTAAGCTCCCGTTGCTCAGTCCCTGCTTCTGCCAACCTAGCAGTTTGAAAGCATGCCAGTGCAAGTAAATAAATAGGTACCGCTCCAGCGGGAAGGTAAACGGCATTTCCATGTGCTGCTCTGGTTTCGCCAGAAGCGGCTTAGTCATACTGGCCACATGACCTGGAAAAACTGTCTGTGGAAGCGGACAAATGCCGGCTCCCTCAGCCTTTAAGGTGAGGTGAGCACCGCAACCCCAGACTTGTTTGTGACTGGACTTAATTGTCAGGGGTCCCTTTACCTTTACAGTAATATGAATGTACTAGACTAGAGGATGCTGTCCCCACCTGCTCTGCTTGCTAGCCCTTGGTCAATCCCCTTTACTAAGCCTCTTTCCCTGTCCCCACATTTTACCCAGTCCTTTGCTCAGCTTGCCCCAAACACCCCCCCCCCCCCCCGTTCTGTCACAGCTTGTTAAATGTTTAACAGAGAGGTGGGTGCTTTACAGAGCCATTTGCCAAACCGCTCTCTGAAGTACCTCCCACCCTCTTTTAAATGTCACTCCAGATATTTGGAGGGGGGGTAAAGTTTATTTCTATTTCATTTTATAATGTATATAAAACAGAGAGAACAATTATAACAACAGATAAAAAGTAAATGATGAAAAACGAAACTATAAAATAGGCATATAGAGTGAGTGGTTGTACATGAGTTAAAATAACAAAAGTCCCAAGTAAAGACTATCAACTTTTATCAGATCATAAAAGTGCAGTTCCAGATTTCCCAGGCTTGTGACGAGGGCTGCCTTGAAAATGACGGTTCCGCTCTATATGCCAAATCATATAAAAAGTGTCTGGAGGTTCTAGTCCTTGTCAAAATCTCAAATTATGTCTGATTTTCTACATTACTGTATACCTATATTTCAGAGTGAGCAGTACCAAGCGCCCAGTGTAAGATTTTGAGCTGTTCACCATTGAGGTGCATTTTCTATTTGTGCTGCTAAATATCCCCATATCTTTTAAAGGGGTTCCATATATCCGTAAGCTATATTATGCAATATAGAATACAGTTTAGAGATTCATCCTTTCCACTCTCTACCCATTGTGCTTAATAAAATTTCATGTTGTGTTAAGGCTCTCAGAGCTTTTGTTTTTACATGTTCTTTTATAATACTCCAGAGATGTATAATGGCAGGGAAGAAGGCTCAGAGAATGGTTTGCCAAGCCATCCTTCTGCAGGGTCTTCTACCCGCCTTTAAACATTGCTCCTTCCTCATCTGCTCGCCTGACTCGCCACCACCCATGCTGCTTGCTTGTTCATTCACCTGCCTGTTGTTCTGTCATCATGCTGTAGTTGGTATGACTGCCTATTGGCGGCTATGCAAACTACAGCGTGATGACAGTTTTACTTTCAAAAATATAGAGACATACTGAATTTTATTGCATAAATTACTTGAGATAATCAGATATTTCATTTAAAGTGGAGTTGCCTGACCTTGCTGCAGAGTTTACAGAGGCTCGTGTTTTTACATAAATAGTTGATCTATCTCAATAATGTCTTTGCAATTGATGTGTTCTAGTTGCTAAAATTGCTGCCTGCTTGCATGTATTTCTGCATAGATTGATCGATCGATATATTATGTATTTCTGCAGAGTGTGTTTCATGTAGACTTGCTGTATTTGTGGTGACATTTTGAATTATACATTTACACTTGGTCATGTATGCCAGGTAAATTACTTAATTTTGAAGAAGAGCCTCAGAGATGGTAAACCCATTTCCCCCCTTCTGTATCTTTTCTTTACAGTGAATGGGTATCACATACCAGGAACTTTGGTACCCCAACTAGAACCAAGCCACATGAGTCTCCGCAAAGTCACCAGTGACCCCCAGGTAAGCACAGGAAATATTCCTGGATATAGATGAAGGCTTTTATTTTCTATGATTGTTTAGAAATAGTGCAGTGGGATGAAGGACTGAAAGCAGTCTTCGTTCACTTAGATGTGCAGCAGTGATAGTTCAGTCTTTTAGTCCAAATTGTGCTGTGAACCTCAAAGTCCTTGTATTCCTGAACACTCTCTCTCCCTCCCCCTCCCCTCCCCCCCTCCCCCTTCTATTTTTATCACTGGAAGCTCTTATTGATCTTTCTCAACTTTAGCCATCTATGATCATTTTGTAGTATGGAGTTTTTCGGGCTAGGTACCCAACGTGCTTTCTTTTTTGTCAACATTGAATGGGAATTTGTTGCACTTCTTGCAGCTGTTTAAGTGAGCATCCTCTTGCTATTGTAGCATGAGACACTATAATCAAGATGATTTTTATTATCCATGCATTCTTTCCTAAATCTTGGAAGATTACAGCTATATTTCATAGCAATGCATTCCGCGCTGTCTCAAAGTCTCCTTTACCCACTACAGTACTGGAGAAAAAATCACCAACTTGTTAGAAGTTTGGTTTTTTGGGGGCAGGTTTTTGGTTTTTTTGCAGAAATATGTGAGTTAAATCTTAGGTCACAAACATTCTAGAGCTTTATGTTTTTTCCACTCAATTCAGATATGCTGAATATCTGTATAGCTCTACCCCTCTTGCCATTATTACTATATTATTGAAGTCTGCATTAAAGCCTGTTATGTAATTTGGTGTGCTTCCACACTGGTCACTTATTGTGGAACAACCATGCTTTGTTCACTCACTGTTTATGGGATGTCTGCATAACATAGTGATCAAACGTCCTCCTCCCAACTTTTCTCTATTCAGCTTCTGTTTTGGGGGGTTGTTTTTTTAAAGAACTCAGAAAAATCTGGTTTTTTATTTGTTTGGGGGGTTTTATCACAATGCAAGCACTGTGCAACATACCCCATGTAGGTGATCCATCACACAACTGTTCTTGCTTATACAGGCCAGTTACGGCCTTCATAGATTTTGTTCTAGCAATTTCCTTCTCTATAGTCTGTCTCATCTCTCTCGGAATCAGCTCTATCACTTTAACTGTCCCCTTCTCAAATAGCATTGCTTTTGTATTCCTTTCCTCTCTCCACAACCCTGCACATCCCAACTTGCAGTGCATCCCACACAATGGTCCCAATGAAAATTGCTACACACAAGATTTGGGGTTGGGGAAGGAGTGGCTATAGAATGTTATTTGGATTCCAGACATTGCTGTTCCACCTACAGCTTAAAGCAGAACAGCACTGCTTGCATACTGCTTAATTGTCACCATCTGTAAGCACTCTTGGTTACTGATGCTTTTCCGCTGTCTAAGAAAATCTAGGGATTTACCTTAGCAAACAGCATTTCTAAAGTACAAGCTACTGTTCATTGTAGCTTCCAACAACTATTTAAGATTAAATAAATCTGGTCATTTAAAGCCATGAGCTCACAAAAGGGCTTTGGCAAGTTGCTGTTTCAAGCCTCAGTTTCTGTTCTGTAAATAAGTTTATAATAGTCATAGTATAGCTGTGAGGCAAAGCATACTGCTACTCATAGAATATTGCTTTCTCCCAGTTCTCTGTGCTTTAAGGAATCACGTAGGCCAATTTCGCAAATGATGCTAAAATTGATTTTTGCATTTCTCCTCCCCACCCCCACCCCTCACTGATTTTTTGCATTTCCTGTATCTGTACATTCAGTTTGAAAAGCCACATTAAGTCTGGGTTGTTGTTGTTTTAAAAAAACGAAGACCAGCTTTCTTCAATCTTATTCTACATTAACGATGATTAAAAAATGTTCCTGGGCAGGGACTCACACATTTCTGTTCATCGCTTGATGACTGTAATATCAAGTACTTTCTTGTATTGTGCAAACAGCCACCGCAGATCAAACGGCACTTTCATATCTGCTGACATCATTTCAGCGCAATATGTTCCAGCTGTGTTTGCAGCTCATAACATTTATTTTGTTTTTATCCCACCCATCCTCCTGAGATTTGAATAAAAATGAGCACGTGCACAGCAGCTCTGTGCAGGGGGGCTGGGAAGACAAGATAGTGACTTTCTCAAGACGACCCAGGGAGGAATGTAGCTGAGCAGAGATTAGAACCAGCACCTTCCCTGTAGAAACCCAATACTGGAGCCACTGCCATGAAGTCATTGAACTAGCCATTCAGTGGGGAAGGGCCATAGCTCAACGGTAGGGCATCTGCTCTGCATTCAGATGGCCCCAGGTTCAATTCCCAGCATCTCTGGGTAGGGTTGGGGGAAAGACCCCCTACCAGAATCCTGGACAGCAGCTGCTGGTTAGTGAAGACAGTAGTGAGCTAGAATCTAGATGACCTAGAGGTGTGACTCTCTAGAGGTGTGAGAGCCAGTGTGGTGTAGTGGTTAAGAGCTGTAGACTCGTAATCTGGGGAACTGGGTTAGCGTCTCCGCTCCTCCACATGCAGCTGCTGGGTGACCTTGGGCTAGTCACACTTCTCTCAGCCCCACTCACCTCACAGAGTGTTTGTTGTGGGAAAGGAAGGGAAAGGAGAATGTTAGCCGCTTTGAGACTTCTTCGGGTAGTGATAAAGCGGGATATCAATTCCAAACTCTTCTTCTTCTTCTCTATAAGGCAGCTTCATGTGTTCCTATGGGTGAGGTGTACGTGCATGTGTGAGAGTAGTTCACACAAAAGAAAACCTCTTAAGGGCTGACTAAAAAGTGTTGCAAAATGTCAGAGGAGAAAGTGTGCATTGATAAGACAATTATTTGTTACGTGACCATAGTTCGGAAAATGTTTCTGCTTTCAGTTCACTGAGCCCTGCTTGAGTCAAGCAGGTCATATCTGAGAACACGGAAAACTTGGTTTTAAAAGCTCTGAGGACCTTGTAGACTCTGTGGGTGCTTTTTCCCTCTTCTTCTTCCCTGCTCATTCCCCTCACTTCCTCCCCTTAATGATGCCACCAGGAAAGAGGCGAAGAATAAAACTAGATTTTGCACCATGTCTTCACTGCCTCTAAAATAAGCATATGGCTGGAGTGGGCACACCAAGAGAGTGATCTTCTGAAATCTTCTCTTCCTCCCTTGCTCTCTCTGAGGCTGAGAAGCCAGTTCTAAATTGTTGGCAAAGTTGTTCTCTTTTGCCCCTGTGAGTAGTTTGTTATCACACAAGTAGTGTCTTTATGAAGAGAGGCAAAGGTAGTTGAGGAAGTAATTCACCTCTGCCTTTCCTAAGCGAGAGTATACAACACATCTCCTGTAGCGTTGCATATCTCACTTTGGAAACTCTTGGACCTTGATCTGTAGGTGATTCTTGCATGAATCCACCTTGACCTGTGCTGCTGCTTCTTTGTAGTACTCTGGGTGGTGATCTGTTTTGGATACTGGATCAAGAGTATCTTTGTAGGTTTAAGATCCTACTGATCTTTTCTAGTCTTACTTGAGGGCATGGCTGGTGGGTCCAGGGAACAGCTACTCTCTGACCTAATGGCTTTGCAGGTTCATAACTGGCTGCTTCAGCAGTTGTTGGGCAATAGGCCCGTAAATGAATCAGCAGCTTACAACACAGGTGAGTGCTCTTGTATTGGTTGTAGAGTGATCAGTGGGGAAACTACTGGGCCCCCTGGAAAGCATGGAGCTGAGTGAGACCAAGAATGCAGGAAAGTTGAAAGAATTTAAGGTGTGCCAGTGTTAACCGAGAAAACTTGAGTGTTTGGAAGCTCAAGGACTTAAGATTTGCTACTGTGTCTAGCAGTTTATTATGAAAGTGCATTGTAGAGGGGAACTCCATAACATATTTCCCCCCCTTAAAGATCAGGGGAGTTAGAAGCAGCATCATTTATTTTGGAGAGGGGATGGTGATTTAGAGTTCTTCATTACACAGTTCTTCTTTCCGCAGGTGCTAGCGTCAGCTCTCCTTTTGCGGCTGGACCAATGCCAATCTGCTGTTTGGGGCATACTTTTTTCCTGCTATGCGTGGGCAACTATTGCTAACAAAGAGGGATATTTAAAAATTTATTTACTTGCCTTGTCAGCATGAGATTAGAACATCTGAGGGAAATGGACTCATTTTCAGATTCTGGATCAGCAAGAAGCTTCCTTTGAGGGGTATTGAAGGATTCCGTTTCACATATGTGAGGATATTTTAAAGAACAATAGCAGGTGTCGGGGGGGGGGGGGACATAAAGAGAAAGGCAAGAAGGCTTGTGTTCAAATTGCACCATAGCACGTATAGACTGGTTTCTGGGAGAGATGTCATAGCTGGTAGAAAATGGTGCCTAAAGAAATTGTGGCATTTCTAGATCTCTGGAGTTTTGCAAATAAAAATTAAGGAGACATGCAAGGGGAACTGTTCTCTATCAGAGAGTGTTAAGGCAGTCTTCTTCCTAGAATAAAGTTACAGATAGGTAGCCGTGTTGGTCTGCCATAGTCAAAACAAACTTGTGCTACTGGAAGGAATTTTTTTTGTTTTGTCCTAGAATAAAGTTGTTGTGCTATGTTTGTCCTTGAGGTATTTTTTTTGTTACTCTGTGTAAAACTGGACAATGTGGCATAAATATTTCTTTGTGAGAGATAACCCTGGTAAGGACTACGAAGGATAAAACCCCCATAAATAAAAGCAATAAGGTTACAATGAATGGTGACGCAGGACATGTTCCATCATGTCGTTAACTGTTGCACAGTAGCCTCAGACAGAATGGCATGCCAAACAAACACTTTAAAATAGGTGGCTGCTGACTCCATGTGCACTATACTTCTGTTTTGGGTCATTCCATTCACTGTCAGTCTGATGCAGGTGGGTTTTTTGTTGTGTTGTTTTGATGCTTTTGCTAATTTGCAGATGGAGGCAGAAGGAAGCCTTGGGGATGCCTGCAGTGTGTTAGCAACAACACTGCAGAGACTTCCTCATCACTTTGCTTCTTGAGTCCCGGCTTTTAAAGCTGGAGTGAGGGGGGGGGCATTGGGGCAAGCGGATGAGATGTGTGTGCAGTTATGAACCTAACAGCAAAGGAAGCCTTTGTGTACAGCAGCTGAACAGCATGCGAAACGTAAAGCAGAGCTTCGAATAACTCTTTTAGGCACAGTAGCTAAAGAGCCTTGCTTCAGAGTTGGCACGCAGTGGAAGAGTTAATTCCAAAGCTAGGCACTGATTGGAAGGGGAGGTGTCGCCGTGTTTCGGATGAATTATCTGGCTGTACAGAGCTCGTGTGCTGCTTCGTGAGCACAGTGCAGGAGTCTCCCATGCAAGAGTTGAACTGTGACACCTCTGGGGCATGGAAAGAGGCTAAGCCAGAAAGCAGGGCAGAAAGGGAATCTCCTCCAATTTGGCTTGCACAAAGCACTGAGCACCCCTGCTTCCCACACACGCACACACAAACACACACATACACCTTCCAGTAACTCAGAATACATACCATGTCGGATGTGGAGTGCAGTTTTGATGATGCCTCTTGCCTCTCTCCTCAGAGTCCTGGGTCCCCCTCACCTACTCGAAAGCAGAACAAGGAGACCACGTTCACGGTAAGTAGAATCCCACCGTGATGATCACCAGTCCAGTTGCTATGGTGATCTAGTCACCAGAGCAAGTAGCATTGCAGGGCAGGAGAGCCGTCAGTCCGTCTGTGTATGTGTTGGTGTGTTGAATCCGTGTGAAAGGGTCTGCCTCATGTTTTCCAGATGTAAACACGGTGCCTGCTTTCCACAGCAGTAGCTGCATTGAAGCCATTTTTAAAAGGCTGGAGCTAGCAGAGAGCCTGTTAAAGAGAGACAGGAAAGAAATGTCAGAAAGCAAAAGGAGAGGGTGGGGGCACTTCTTTCTGCTGTGATTTTTAAATTATAGTTGCAGCAGTGTTTCCTTTTGTTCAAAGTTGCTTCTGGGTAGATCAAGCAATTAATAGCCAATGAAGTCATCTTAGGAATGGAGTGTTCCTGTGGGCAGCACACACAATGATAAAAAGTTGACAGTGAGGGTTCCCCCCCAAGGCTGGCTTCCTTTGCAGCTTTGATGGATGACTGAAGGGGCTAAAGATCCATAGAAAGAAGAAGAATATTTCTTGAAAAGATGCCCTGTGAAGTTGTCGTAGTATGCACTTTGGCTGAGGTCGCGAACATGCTAGATATTTCTCAGTAGGAGAGGATGAGATGCAAGCCTTTGAATCCTGGCAAACCTCTTTTGACTCTCTAAGTCCAGAAACTTATCCATTATTGCTCAGAAACCTGGCCCAGCCATCCGGGCTCCATGGTTAACAAAATATTTGATTTGATTGCAATGATTTAAGAGAGAGAACGGGGGGTGGGGGACATTTCCCTGTGGAAGTGTGAGGTTCGCTCTTTTGCTAGCTACAGCAGTGGAAAGGAATTTGTTGAAACAACATGACACATCTCAGTGTGAATTAGAGCACCGGGAGTGGTGGTGGAGGGAACATTAGGGGGACTAGAATATGAGGTGGTGATTAGTGTCAGTGCTGTTTTCTTTGTGACAGGATTGATGTTTGGTGCTGCCACTCAGTTTTCCCAGGTTTGAAATTTAGTTTGAATGTTTCATCAGTGTTTCCTCTGCCTCCCCTTTTCATGGTTTGGGTTCTCTAAAACGAGAGAGAAAACACAAGCAAAAACTGCTTATTTGGTATGGGTGTTGGACTTCAGGTCCCCGTCCCCGTCCCCCCCGGATTTTGCACTTTATGGAGTGGATCGCAAGAAATAATGCACTCTCTTAATGGCTTACACTTATTCTGAGTTGAAAGGGACATAAAGCAGCAACCTCAGATCTTGTGAGGGGTGTCTGGGGCTGTTTCGACATTTTTCGCTCCGTACTTCACCCCATCAACATGAAACAAAACAAAACCCAGAACTTAAAGGGGCTCCAGGGGGTGTTACTGTAGAACAACTAGCTGTGTAAAGAAGACCTAGCTGTGGGGATAACCCCATTCAGTCAGAGGCAGTTGAAGAAACGGAAGCAGTGTGTTTTATCACTACTGCTCAGCTGCCATACATGTAGTAACAAAATTGAAGGCTGAAAGGGGTGATTACCTTAATCCTAAGGCACAATTACATTGCAGCTGGAGTTAGGGATGATTCAATCCATTGTGGTGCCCCGGTTAGGCACCCCTGGGTTAAAGTGTTGTACTGTGACTTGGGAGACCAGGGTTCAAATCCCTACTAAGCCATGAAATTCACTGGACAGTGCTGGGCCACCCACCAACTCTCAGCCTGACCGAACTCATGGGGTTGTTGTGAGCACCTTGGAGGAAAGGCAGGATAAAATAAAAAATATTGCTCTTTGTGAATGGCTTTGTCAAGAATCATTACTGTGTTTTTTGAAGCTCTTTGAGGCTACAGTAATATTTGGAATCAGCCTCATAAGTGGGTCGTCTGTATCATGGTTCTGAGTATCTGCATTAATATTGTACCTCCTTGGGGGTCAGCAACAGTGGTGCAGGTGTTTTTCTATATGGCCCATCTCATCCAAGTGGCAAATGGATTCAAATGTTGCATCTGCCATGCAGTGTCCTGACCACAGTGAAATTATTTTTTGGCAGAACCATGCCACTGAGCTTGACCAGGAGAGGCAGCAAAGAACACATACATGCACGTACCGCACCACAGGTTCTCTCCCACTCTTTTCCTCAAGCCCAGCACTTGATTTTTGAGAAGGGATTTCTGTTGGATGTCACAAAGAGTTCGCTTAGAATCATAGCATTGTAGAGTTGGAATGGGACCCCAGGGGTCATCTAGTCCAAGCCCCTGGAATGCAGGAAAATGCAGGCAGCCCATATGGGGATTGAACCCACGACCCCAGCCCCATGCTCTAGCCAACTGAGTCAACTGGAGCTGCATCTTTCTTCTGAGAAATATGTTATGAAGTGCCCTTTTCAGCTGACTGAATTCACACATAATGCCAAACTTCAAGGACTGCTTGGTTCACTTCTCGCCTCCTCCTCCTCTGTCTGCCCCCTGCGCATCACAGTCTAGGACTTCTGTCTGTAGTTTAGAGGCCAACCAAAGTTGGTCTCAGTGTTGGAAATGCCAAATTATGGTTTGTGCTTCCAGTAAAGCGGGATTACCAGATTTGCAGGACAGCACAATCAGTCATTTGACTTTTCTGACACCGAGGCAAACTGTTGTTTGTCAATAAACCTTGTCAATAAACCTCAGTCAAAAGTCCTTCACAGCACATAGGAGTAGTCATAAGCTTGAGGGGCTCATTCCTGTTTCACCAAACTATGTGTGAACACAGCCATTTTTCTCATGGGTAATATACAGAAGTTACTAGCTTTCTGGGGATAGTGGGTGAGAGAGGAGAAATGTTGATTGTGTTTCACAACTGAAGTAATTTTTCTCAAAATTGGGTTCCCAGCTGTTGTTGGACTACAACTCCCATCATCCCTAGCTAGCAGAGCCAGTGGGATGATGAGAGCTGTAGTCCAACAATAGCTGGTGACTCAAGTTTGAGAGACACTGATCTAAAAAGATAGGCATGTAAGACCATTAAGTCTGAGGTCTAAAAATTACCTAGCTTCTTCCTGTGACATAAATGCTCCTTGTTCCTCTTCCAGTTTTCTCTGCTGTAGCACACAGGACTTAAAGATCTGTCTCACATATACACTCCCAGTGTGGCATTTTCTCCTACAGCAGTTTGGATGAGAAATTGTGCTCTTAAAACTTGGTCACATCCAGTGGAAATACTCTGTTAAGAAGTTTTAGCAGAAATTCGAAACATCTGGAAATGTCTCCAAACCATGTTGTAGGCAAGTGATAATCCAACATGCAGCGACACCCTTCAGGTGCTAAAATATATATTTAAAAACCCTCTCTGCTGAAAATGAAGCAACTTGACCTTTCTGGCAATTGACAACCTCATGAGAGGCTTAGAGTTACATATGTTGGATGTGGTTCTTTGCATTCCAGTGTCTCATAACTTCTGTGATCCCATCCTACGACTTGAATGAAACACTCTTTCTTTTGTGTTACCATTCCAGTTTTCATGGATGTTCATTTTCCTCCCTGCCAAAAAATAAAATAAAAATTCTGCTTGTTGCCATTTAATAAGAGCAACTCCAGTGCACTCTCTTGTTAGCATTACCAGCAAGGACACTTCTATTCCTGTGGTGTTCCTATTCAGGTTGTGACCAATTTTTGGCCACTTATGGATGATCATATCTCTACCTAAGGAAGCCAAGTTATGAGCAAGCCTCTTGCCCACACACCCAGCACCTTTGTTCCTTTTCAATGAGCCACAATACAAACCAGGAAGTCTCTAAACTTAGTTTTTGGTTTTATTCATTCTGGGAAGCTCTGGTTTCTAGCATCAGAACAAGCCAGGGTATTCAACTATGAATTGAAGTTTGTTTAATATCCTGGCTTGTTCCAAGGTTTTCCTGGTTCAGACTTAACAGGAAACTGTAGTTAGTTAGAAGCTTCCTCATTTAATTATAGCTTGTACCAGAGGGAGGGGCAAGAAAGGAGGAAAAGGCTCATTCATATCTTGGTTTATTAAACCGATATATGATTGTGTGAACCAGCTCAATGGTTTTTCAGTCTTCATATTACAGAATCACCTTTGACTGCTGGACGCCTTGACTTCTTTGTGCATGTGTTCTTTCCGGCTATCGGGTCAACCCAATTTATAGGTATTTTGTAGTGTTTCAAGCTATACCCTGGAAAAGTGAAACAAAGCCAAATGCATTGTCAGCACAGCTGCAACAGAAAAGATATACAGTGGTACCTCTGGTTACGAACTTAATTCATTCCAGAGGTCCGTTCTTAACCTGAAACTGTTCTTAACCTGAGATACCACTTTAGCTAATGGGGCCTCCCGCTGCTGCTGCACCACCACCGACGCACAATTTTTGTTCTCATCCTGAGGTAAAGTTCTTAACCCGAGGTACTACTTCCGGGTTAGCGGAGTCTGTAACCCAAGGTGTTTGTAACCCAAGGTACCACTGTACCTTTGACTGTCCCAGTTGTCTGTTGGGCAGTGCCTATTGCAAGTTCACACATGCCCCTAATCTGGATAGCTTTGTCTGGGCAATTGAGCCTATTAACACAAGTAGGTGACATGGGGCTGTGCACAGCGTCCCCACGCACAGTGTCCCCTTCCCTGCCTTACCATGTCCTTGGCCGTACTGTTTTGGTTGGGAATGGCGTGTTCCATCGGTGTTCACTTGAACATGTGGCACAGTTCAGGCGAACGCATGCAAATAGCCCCCTTTATACCTTCTTCACTCTGCATGGGACAATTGGAAACGGTGAAGATGTGGCCAGTGCATGGGGTGATTATTGGGACTGGGATGGCATGTGCAGCCCCCTGCCTTCTGCTTGTATTAATATTTCTTGCATGGGTGTATTTAAAAAGTTTATTATTATTATTTTTTAAAAAAATGTTTTTCTTATATATATGGAAGTATGTTTGCTCATCCACCCAAGCCGTTGTGTGGTTCTACAGAAAGGAGGCAAGTCTAACCTCTCCTCCACATTTCTGAGAACATTTAGTTAAAAACACATTTTTCTTTGAACTGTGTGTTCTTTCCCCATCCATCTCCAGCACTAGAGCCAGCATCTTTGTTTCAAAAAGAGAGAAGCAGGCTCTTCCTCTCCCCTGGCAGGAAAACGGTGACATTTGAACAAGGCTTCCCCTCTTTTTCTTCTTCAATGAGTGGGGTTATCAAGGTACCCCACAACAGGACTGGGTTTAGTGCCACCATAGCAATAAGGAGATAGTCACCTGTACATCCTTGATATTGTCCTGGTGTTATTAGGAGAATCACACACACATGTCACAAGTCCCCTTACAGGGCCAAGAGATTCATAGCTTAAAATAATTGTACGCAATAACTTGATCATCCTTTCCCTCCCAATTTTTGTGAGTGCTTGCAGATTATATTTTAAATGTCCCCTATAGCTTCTTGATAGTGCTTTCTGTTTGTCAAGTACACTGTCAACAACACAGTAAGGGCATTTAAGGAGGTCTTTTTGGTCGTTCTCTAACTAGGAAGCTTCATCAAAGCTCAAGCCCACTAATCTCTCTAAACCGTTGAGAACTTTGCATTTTGGCATGCACTATAGTATCTGTTTCTTGTCCCAAGATGAAGCAGTTGGGTGGATTATAAATTTAAATAAATGCTTTCTGTCAGGCTTCATGAATTAAATTAGTGAATTATGGATCCAGAGAGGAATAATTTTCAGTTGCGCTTTTTAAAAAATATGCATTGAAGTGCAACATCTGAATATTAGTCTAACGATTTTATTATTAATCTGGTTTTCTCTCCATTGTGTCCATTAGCTTCACTGGGACTTTCTGTGTACTTCTGGCATAGGCTGTTGTGTAAAATTTGGTTTTCCATTTGTAAGATCCCTTAGGCAGCTTTAACTCATTTAATGACATCCGGTCCAAGTTAGAAATGGTTTTACCTAGAGCTGCTACTAGATTTCACCAAAAAGTGAAATGATAAGGCAAACATGGAGGTTCCTGTTTGGGTGAAACATTTGAGGAATTTCCACAGAGGCAAACATTTTTAGTGAAGTTGTTGCCTTTTGAATTTCATCACTAAAGTGAAATTGCAAGGCAAACATGAAGGTTCCTGTTTAAGAAGGAACATCCAAACAATTTTGAGGGTAGTAAGATTTAAACCGCAATCCTAGCCCTACTTCCCTGACCATAAACCCCATTGGATTCAATGCATGCTTGGACTTGGGCTTAGAAGTAAGTCCAGGTAGACATAGCTAGGATTGCGTTTTTAGTCTTACAATAAGTACTGCACATTCTTAGTTTTATCCTCCCTCTTCTTTTAAATAAAAGAAGCAGGCATGCAGGGTTTGATGATCAGAGATCCTGTTTTGCTTAGAGTCTGCTTCCTAGATATTGCAGCGACTTTCAACCACACAAAATCTCTTACATCTGCGTTCTGTGACATCTCCTGGTTAAAGCGAGCATTACATTCAGCAAGAACCTAAGCCAGCTGTGTTGCATTTATGCAGCTTTTGTTTACATGCATCCATGTTCCTGAACTGCTTTGCACGTCCAATGTATTCCTCTTTCCTTTTTGTCAGATAAACTGTGTGACGTTCCCCCACCCTGACGCAATGCCAGAGCAGCAGTTGCTGAAACCTTCTGAATGGAGCTACTGCGATTATTTCTGGGTAAGTGAGCAGCCACCCATATGCTCTTTACTGCAGCAACCGGGATTCATACAGTACGTAGCATATTGCTAAAATCTCTGTTGGCAAACATGGTTAAAATCCAAGCTTGGAAGGAGGTGCATAAGATGTTGGAGAAGTTGTTTCCCCACCTCCACAATCTAATTGCATTGCAGCCATATTACACAAGACCGGGTGACTACAATGGGCTCCTAGGACCCTCGTACCTACGGGACCGCCTCTCCTGGTATGCCCCACAGAGAAACCTACGGTCTGTAAATAAAAACATCCTCAAGGTCCCAGGCCTCAGAGAGGTTAGGCTGGCCTTAACTAGAGCCAGGGCCTTCTCGGCTGCGGCTCCAATCTGGTGGAATGCTCTGTCACAAGAGACTAGGGCCCTGCGGGACCTGACATCTTTCCGCAGGGCCTGCAAGACAGAGTTGTTCCACCAGGCCTTTGGTCAGGGCGCGGCCTGACCCCCTCCTCCGGCAACCTGCACAGTACTTTGGTTGCCATCAATCTGATTTTAATTAATTTTTTTTTTAATTTTTATAATGAAATATTTTAGAATGTGTGATTATTCAACTATTGGTTATTTGATTGTTGTTAGCCGCCCTGAGCCCAGCTTCGGCTGGGGAGGGCGGGATATAAATAAAATTTATTATTATTATTATTATTATTATTATGTTGAGTCATATTCTGGGGCTTGTAACCCCGGAAGCCAGCATCATACAAATCTGGACAAGCATGTATGTGCTCAAGCACCATCTTCCTGATTTGCTGCCATCCCATCTGGTCCTCTACAAATGCATCGTGTTAAAGTGTAGCCCAGGCATAGGCAAACTCGGCCCTCCAGATGTTTTGGGACTACAACTCCCATCATCCCTAGCGAACAGGACCAGTGGTCAAGGATGATGGGATTTGTAGTCTCAAAACATCTGGAGGGCCGATGCCTGATGTAGCCGTTATTTCCCTTTCTTATCTTAAGTAGCAAGACCTTTCCAGAAAGGGGTCTGGGGTCCCCAGGATGCTGGTATGAGCTCTCTTAATAAGCTGATTGTTGATTGGTTGGCCTGGAGAGCTGGATAGTAATAAGGTGGTAATAAATTATCTGAGTATGGACTTTAGTTTTGGATTACAGTATACACATCCTTTAACTTTTGTAAAAAAATTGGAGTGGATGAGTTTTAGAGAAATCAGAGAATTCCCTGCAACTTCAAATGTAATGATAACTTTAGAGGAGAATAGTATAAGGAACAAGATGGCCAAACTACTTACACTGGACAAAACTCATGAGTAATCATCACCCGAGAACCCACAACCCAATTGGACTGGAGCCCTGTTCTGTAATAAGTGCTTAGCATAATTCGGCTGCAACATGATTTGCTTCATTCAGACACAAATGGTTGAAAGGGAAAGGGGAGTTTGAAAATATTATATAAGGGTAGGATGTAGTTTTCCTACACCCAGAATATATGTGGTTGAGGGGTGTATTTTTTTTTTTTTGTAAACAATAAAATTAGATGATTTAGACTTTCTTGATTAAAAAAAAGTGGTTGTCTTCACAAAGAATGAGGGCAGAGGGGAGTTCAATTGAGTTCCATGCATCCGAGGAACCATTTTGTTTTCTCTTTTACATTTCATGTGATATTTCCAAGTGCATGCAAAACGTTAGATGTACAGCATCAGAATTCTCTTGCACAACTAGAGGTTGACAGAAATGCAAATCTTGCAGCACCCACTGTGCAATATTGCCTTGCAGGGATAAAGAAGCAGTAGGGAAACAACAAATAAGCGGGGGAGGGGGTGAGTGGATAGAAAAGAGGTAGGAACTGTCCAGGGAGCAAGGCTTGTGTGGTAGGCCCTGATGTGCCAGGAGGTATTCTGAATAAGAGTCTGGGGAAGAGAAGCCTATATGCCAGTTTGTAAAAAAAAAAAGATGTGGCTAGTTCTGACCTTGGTCATTTGTCCCTGCCACAAGCATGGGTTGTTTTCTCCCTTATATTAATACTGTCAATTCCTATTAACACAGAATCTGCTGCTGTTTAACTACCTGTTTCATATATGCCAGAGCAGCCCCTAGTGGCAATAATCTGGTATTTGCTGGAAATTCTGCTAGCTCTATTGAAGTCGTCTTTGAAGCTCCGCTAGCAGCTGTTGTATTTGTTGCATTAGGCAAAAATATCCTGAATAGAATTGCCAGCTTGTGACTTGGGGGCGTTTGAGGTAATTCTTAGCCCACTTTCCGATATCTGCTGCGTGCCGGAGCTGCTAAGTGCTTTGGCACATCTTCTGACGCCTCTAGTGTGGCATATATTCTAACTGCACGTTTCCTTTAGACTGATAAGAAGGATCCTCAAGGAAACAGCACCGTCTCGGGATTTGAAATTCTTCTTCAGAAACAACTGAAAGGAAAGCAAATGCAAAAAGAGATGGCGGAATTTATTCGGGAAAGGTAACTTGGAAATTAACTCCTTCTTTCATTGGTTTCTGTCTCCATTAGTGAGACACCTGCTTCCGTTAGTCCCTTAGTAAATAACTTGCTTTTACTTAAGCACACCCGATCTTGACAATTTGGAAGGAGAATACTAGCATGGATGGGTTCCTTGGCCTGTTCTGTCTTGACTACTTTATATTCCTACAGACTACCAGCAGTGTCTTATTCTCACTTTCATAAGCTCATTTATCTAAAGCTTTGCAAAAATGGTTTATCCAAACATGAACACACGGCAGTTATATTCAGCAAAAGGATCGACAGCTAACAAGTTTTTCAATTGGCATTTTGTATGGGGTTCTGGGCCAAATTCAGCAATTTGTGGCTATGTTAGCACCGTAGAAATGCTCAGTTTTAGAAACACATACATTCATTTTTGTGAAATTCATGGTAAAATAGTATATGATATCTGCTCTAGATGTTGTGGTTCACACAGAGAAGATGCTGTATGCCTGTAGAGTTACCTGCCCTCCTTCTCATGCTTTCTGACATGCACCTCTGCCCAACACTTGGCCACAAGCTTGTGTCACCATGGCAGCAACAACACTTCATGCTTACGGTATATCTGTCATAGGTGGTTCAAAATAAGTCAAGTGAGTTAGTGTGTATTTCTCAATAAGATGGTTTGAAATATTCAGTGGCTGCAGCTGTTATTTTTATAAATTCATGAACAGTAAGAAGCTATTGAAGTGATGTACATTAAGGTAATATGGGATACAATACCAAAGATACTGAGTCTGACGCAATTAGTGCCAGCACCATCCGTTAAGAGTTTGGGTGTAATCTTCGACACCTCCCTTTCCATGGAGGCGCAGATTGCAGCTAGAACAAAGGCGGCATTTTTTCATCTCCGCCAAGCTAAGCAGTTGGCTCCTTACCTCTCTCACCCTGACCTAGCCGCTGTGATCCAAGCGACGGTCACCTCAAGACTGGATTATTGTAACTCACTCTACGTGGGGCTGCCCTTGAGACTGACCCAGAAACTCCAGCAGGTGCAGAATGCCGTGGCGAGACTCCTTACGGGGTCCTCGCTGCGGGATCACATTCACCAGGTGCTATACCAGCTGCACTGGCTCCCGGTGGAGTACAGGATCAGGTTTAAGGTGCTGGTTTTAACCTTTAAAGCCCTATACAGCCTAGGACCCTCATACCTATGGGACTGCCTCTCCTGGTATGTCCCACGGAGGACCTTAGGGTCTTCGAACAAAAACATCTTGGAGGTCCCAGGCCACAGGGAGGTTAGGCTGGCCTCAACCAGAGCCAGGGCTTTTTCGGCTGTGGTCCCGATCTGGTGGAACACTCTGTCACAAGAGACTAGGGCCCTGTGGGACTTGACATCTTTCCGCAGGGCCTGCAAGACAGAACTGTTCCACCAGGCCTTTGACCAAGGCACAGCCTGACCCCCTCCTTTGGTAATCCTCTTAGAACTCTAGCCCAATGGTTGCCATTACGGTAATTTGATTCTGAATTGATTTTAGAATGAATTGATTTTAGAATGCTGTGTTTACTTTTACTGTTGTTAGCCACTCTGAGCCCTTCTTCGGCTGGGGAGGGCGGGACATAAATACAATTTTATTTTATTATTAGTATTAAAAACAATATTCCAGTCAATATTCCAGTAAATGTTCCAGTAAATGACTGGGTCACACTTCAAGGAAATCTTATTAAATAAGAAGGCAGTAATAGCCACCCACACATCAAGTAGGTGCCTAATTTCAGCTGGCAACTAATTCCAGAAGGGTCAGTTGATGTGTCTGATCCAGTTTCCCAGCCATACAGTTCTATAGCTTGGATCCTACCTTTCCTTCTGTGAAAGGAACAGAATTCACCCTCATGGAATGGGACTTTTACATCTTCTGCAGCCTGTACCTATCAAAAACCTGCTCCTGGGGATTGGAAATGGTGTGGGAAATGTTGCAAATGGAATAGGGAGACAGTAGAAGTCCCTTATCATACATGAATGGAGGAGCAACATCTATATGCCCAGAGCTGCTCTTTATAACATTTGTATATATACCCGGAGTTGCTCTTCTTAAATGGAAGGACTTGAGAGAAGGATCTTAGATCCAGTGAAGTCTTTGGTTGCAGAAGGTGGGGAGGTGATTTTTTTAAAAAAATAAATAAATATCCCTATATACACACACCTGGGACCCCTTTCATGCTATTCCAGAAAGTCCACCTACCCTCTAGAATGGATTTTCAGAGTTCACAAGGGCTGTATTGGGAAGGGGGGATGAGCAAAAATGACCTCCCCTAGTATTTTTCTGCAGGATTGTCCTGTAAACAAACAAACAAAAAATGCTCACAGGATCTCTATTTTCATCCCTGTGTCTCCAGAAATCATAAAGCTGGGTTGTTGGATTTAAGAAATTCTGGTTGCAACCTAGCAAGGCATTTAATTTTTTTCATATTGTTTGATATTAGTACAATCCCTGTATTTACTAAGGGTCCATTTTAATCTTCACTGTAGAGACTTAGGAATCATAGAAGTACAAATCCTCTTGAGTTCTCTCTACTTCACGATCTTCAGTGACTTTAGCACATCTGGGGGTGGGGATCTTTCCTCACCCCATCCGGTCTGCCTCTGCTCTGCTAGAACATAGTTTAAATAACTCAAATATATGCAGGACATGAAAGGAGAAGGCGCGAGAGAGAAAGATAAACAGTTATTATTTATAGCTGCTCATTATTTATAACTACTCTTAGAAGAAAAGAGCACTGGTTATAAATAGCTTTCCGAATAATAATAATAGGATGGAGATTTACTTCTCTATGGCTTGCAATGGAGAACTGGAACACTGTGTTCCAAGAGTGGACTTTGCCTGGTCAGAGGACAATGAAGGCGCCACTACCATTACCCATTTCAATTGGACAGTGGTGAATTGGTAGGAAAACTTTATCTTGTGCCAGTGGAAAATCTTAAGCATAAGGACAAGTGGGAATCCTTTTGACAGAGTATAGATCATCAACAAATCCACACAGCTTCTTGAGCACAGAAAGTAACCTTTGGCACAAAATGGCAAATATATAAATATGTGTCCATAAATACATTACATAGCCATATTGCATGTCTTCCATGGAAATGGAGAGCAGAGGCCATTCACAGCTTTACAAAAGAAACAGGAGTTTATATAGATTGATATCGTTCTCAACCTCTTCTTGGAAAATGTCTTTATCAAGGGGGAAACTTGGAAAAGACCCTTTGATGTGCTGCAGCATGAAAGTCCCCACCCCACCCCACAGTTTTTATCAAATAGTATAACTCTGTTTTTGCTTGACACTGAGATGTTTGGTTTGGTTTGGATTGGTTGATGTTGTTGTTTAAAAAAAACACACAATAGCAGTTTATGCACCTGTCTTTTTGTCTTTTTGTCTTTTCTATGGGTGTATTTGACCCCCTGCTTGGGAGACTATTCACTGCTCCCCACAGTGTTGGGGTTTTTTTTTGAGGGGTGTGTGAAGGTATTTCAATAGATACGATTTTAGTATAGTGGCTCCACAGACCAGAGCTGCATCAGCCTCTGCCTTGAAAGGTGGATGGGGCTGCCCACCTGTCAGTCACATAATGTAACAAATGACGTCAAGTGTTTTGGTGCTTTGAAGTCCTGAAGTCAGAAAAAAAGCCTTCCTTTTAGCAGTTCCTTGCTGTTTGTGAGGTGCTTTGAAGCCCTGACTTTGGCACTTCAAAGAGCAGCCAAACTGAGAAACCTTGGATGCACTCAGTGCTTTTTTCTGTAGGTACTCAAGGGTACAGAGTATTGGCATCTTCCTTTTTCAAATATTAAAAGTGAAAAAAGCACTGGGTGCACTAGAGAGTTTGTTGCAGGGAGTTCTCTCACACATCTAGACCAAGCTGGACTGAGCTCCCCACATATAATCCAATTATGAGGGGTTCAGTCCAACTTAGCACTGAGTTTGGATGCACGACAGAGTTTCTTGCAAGGGGTGCCTTTGCCTATGGAAATTTCATGGAGGGGATGGTATGGCCAGGAGGAAGAGTGGGGGGAGCCTGAGGATTTTGGAGCTAGAGGAGTCTGTGAATGATCCAGTAGGGTGGAACTGGGGTCTCAAGAAGTGTCTGGTGCCAAGGAAAGGCTAGGAGACCTGGAAGGGGGAGATTCAGACCCTGAGGAATACCAAGCAGATTGTCAAGGGCTACTTGTTCATCACACCTTATTTATCAGAGTTTTAGGGCAGAGTTTTAGGGCACCTTATTTATCAGAGTTTTAGGGCAGCGGCTGAAGAAGGAACAAAAAGGGTTTTCTTGTGTGAGTTTCTTGTGGCTGTTTAGCTGCTCTCTCTGTGCAAAGAGGACCACTGTAGTCACCCCCAACGACACGTTCTCAAGATGGAGGGTGAGGGAACAGCTGCAGTCGCCTGTTGGTTCCTGCGCAATGTTTGCCATCTTGCCAAAGGTTGCAGGCAGCTTTA